TCTTATTACGATGATCTTTTGATTTTGAATGACGCCAAACGCTGAGTTTTATATAAATAATCATAAACAAATATTAACGTGAAAATATGTATGTTTGTACATACATATGTATATGTACATAGAGCTTATTATAGAATTACTTTTTTTATATGTAGTTATATATTGTGTAAAAATTACATGCATAAATCTTGCATTCTTTGCTATTCAGTAGCGGATATGCATGCCTATTTTCGGCATGTTGCGCGTAGTTAAATTGAGAACTTTCAACGTGTCTCTTAAAAAATAAGGTTTTTAACCGACTTCACAAAAAGGTGAAAGGTTATCAATTCGTGGGATTTTTTTTATATAAGTTATCTACCGCATAACGTTGGACCACGTTAACCGATTTCAATAATTCTTTTTTTAATGAACGATGTTACCTCACAGGTGGGAGGTTTGGTTTAAATCCGATCATCGGATCATGAAGAAATTAACGATAATCTTTTTTTTTGTTTTTTGCTTAAAAATTACTTATTATTTAAAAAATAATCTTTTAGTAATGATCGATGCGTACATAATATGTATATTATGGACACAGTAGATCGATTGAAGCATATGTATGTATGTAAACAGCTCGCTCTGTTCGAGAATAAATTAAGATTTGCCTTTTTATTGTCGTCTTCTTCCATTCAAGCATATACAAACGACTCTTAATCATATTTGTGTCCACAGGAAACATTTGGCTCTTGTTATCATACGCTTCACCTCATCCTACATCTGCATATGTGAAAACATACACTGCCGGAACAAAGTATTGGCACAGCAAATTTTTCACAATATATGAAAAAAATTTCATTCTAACAATTTTCCGCTAATATCGTATAAAAATATAGTTCATTCTACAACAACAAACATAAAAATATAATTCCTAAACTTTGTGCTAAACTCGCGCAAATTCAGAAAATTTTCATGAAAATTTTCAACTTTTTAATCAGATTTTTTAGATTTTTTTTGAGTATGCAGATTTGTAGCCCATTCATTTTTATATTGAAGTGCAAGTTTTAAGTAGCTAGGAATTACCGTTAATTTTTTGGAATTTTTTTCACGCAAAAAATTTTTTCGAAAATACTTTATATAGAAAAAATGCAAAACACCCTCAACAAAAAAACTCCGAATTTGCATTTTTTTTACTAGAATTTAATGGGCTGCAAAACTGCATACTAAAAAAATTCTAAAAAATCTGATGAAAAAGTTGAAAATTTTGATGAAAATTTGCTAAATTTTCGCGAGTATTGCACAAAGTTTAGGAATTCAATTTTTATGTTTTTTGTTGTGGACTGAACCATATTTTTATACAAAATTGGCGGAAAAATATTAGAATAAAAAATTGTTGCATATATTGTGAAAAATTTGCTGTGCCAATACTTTGTTCCGGCAGTGTATGTACATACAGTTGTCCACAAAATAATAGGAGTGCGATATTTTGACCAGTTTTGGCTATTTGTCTTTTGTTTATTTAATGTTTATTATTTTTTTATAAAAGCCTACCTGGCTATACAACAAACACCATATAAATTCAGATTTTAAACTTTGTATAAAAATTATAAAAATTTTGCAATTTTTCACCCAAATTTCAAACTTTTTAATCAGAATCTTTAGAAAAAATTCTGGTATGCAGTTTTGTAGCACATTCAATTCTAGTCTGAAGAAGTGCAAGTTTCAAGCGGCTAAAAAACTCCGTTGATTTTTGGCAATTTTTTTGCTGGCAGTGTCCTCCATATAAAAGAAAATTGTCGACATACTTTGTATGGAAAAAACCTGAAACACCTTTAACCAAAAAAATTCTCAAAAATCAACGGAATTTTTTAGCCGCCTGAAACTTGCACTTCTTCAGACTAGAATTGAATGTGCTACAAAACTGCATACCAGAATTTTTTCTAAAGATTCTGATTAAAAAGTTTGAAATTTGGGTGAAAAATTGCACAATTTTTATAATTTTTATACAAAGTTTAAAATCTGAATTTATATGGTGTTTGTTGTATAGCCAGCTAGGCTTTTATAAAAAAATAATAAACATTAAATAAACAAAAAACAAATAGCCAAAACTGGTCAAAATATCGCACTCCTATTATTTTGTGGACAACTGTATATACATACATACAATATTGTTTGTTTATAAATAGAAATTGTATAAGAAAAGCCATGTATCATGAGAAAAGCTAAATCAAATCGCAGTTTTTTGTTGTTTAAACATTGAAAGGCATATTGTTCAGAAGCTTGTGTGTTAAAGAAGTTCCTCACAGTTGTTAATTTCGTTTTGATTGATTAAACTTGTAGATATGTGCATACTTACATATGTACATATACCCGCAAGTTTAAACAAAATATTTAAGCCAGGTTTATACATATAAAATTCTATTTAGTTTACAGAATTCTACCTAAGAACGTTAAAATAGTACATAAAGATAATGTGCAAATAACAAAATGCGTGGATGTGAAAAATACAATAGTATTATAAACAGTATATTTGCACAAATGTACTTATGTATATTGTTATTAAATATGTAAACAAAGCCTTGGCGTTAAAACAATTTCCCATGTGCGCATTATCAAACCCTAGAAAAGGAAGCATGCGGAGGGGGAAGACCAGCAGAAGGTAGGTATGCACCAAATTGGGCAGCCAGCGCGCGTTCTCTAGGTCATTCGAAGGTCGCTGTGACGACGCCAGGCGACAGTTGACAGCGGCTCATTTAAAGTGCAAATATCTAGTATATGGTAGGAGACTATCCTCTAATGTTTGCAGATATACACATGCAGGTATACATATACTTTATTTTCAAAATTATGCTCCATTTCACATGATTAATTATTGTTTAAATGTGATCCTACGGGAGTATGTTCCCCAGAAGTGCAATCCCCGTGTGCTTCTGAATTTGTTATAAGCGGATTGAAATCCCTGCAAGCCTATTTTATGTATGTCTCTATATACAAACACTCTCGTAATTATTATACTGCTTATATTTGGCATAATTACTCACCTTACTTTCATTTGGAATATTCAACATTTTTATTATAAAATCCGCACAAACTCCACTGACGATTTTCGATGGGCACAATTACACACTTTTTTACAAATTTCTTTTAATAATACTTTAATCCCGTTCCTTGTTTTCTACCACTTTCTGTAGTGCAGTTTTTGTGCGAAATTTACACTGGCAACCGCGATAAACACGACCGTTGAGTATTTTGTGCAAACAATTCGAGCCAAATATTTTTCACTTTTGTTTGTCTCTTTTGTTATAACCTCAGTATATCCGTTATAACATTCCTGAACGAATTTTTTTTTATGCTTATCAGCTGGGAAAAAGAAATGTCAACGGGCTGTCTGGAATGTCATTGGAATGCACTACCGGAAATCATTGGAATGCACTAACGGAATTCATTGGAATGAACTACCGGAAATACACGGTGATAGACACCGAGTAGATAGTAACCGAGTAGAAATTTTCAAGTGTTTTCACAAAGAACTTTGTACCAAAGAAGCAAGAACGTAAATCTAATTAAAAAGAATTATTTTTCTTTTATTGGAAAAACTTTTTCACTCGAGAAATCTTCAATAACAATAAACCGGAAAACACACCTGTTGGTAGTTTTTGACAAATTATTTCCGTAACTGAACATACTACGCAGTTGTTTACTCTTGTTCTATCTACGCCCAACCACCCCACCAACATTTTACAAAACAGCTGATCCAAAAAATTACAATTATTTATCGGTGCAAAAATTGCTTTTAAGTGCAACACCATTCATAAATCATCAAAAATATACATAATTTGCTGAACATTGCATTAAAATGGGTTCTCTGTGTTCATCGTGTTTTGGAAGCAATGGTGAATCATCTAATTTGATGCCTTCACCGGTAAGTTCAACTCAATAAAGATTTATTAACACCTCTATAACCCAATAACAAATAAATCAATTGCCCTCCAAAGGAAACACGTCGTCGCCAGCAACTTGAAGCAGCGGAGCGGCGTCGTGAAGAAAATGAGCGGAGAGGTATTAAAAACCCTGATAGTGTTCGACGCCAACAACAGCGTACAGAGGAAATGGAACGTAGGG